AAATTTTTATGAGAATCAGGACGAGTTTTGCTGCTTCTCTGTGAACTTTTTTTATGGTTCCGCTTTGCGCGCTGCTCCATAAGTTTAAAGTAATCTTTCAACACGAAAGTTCCTTCAGGAAAAATCAACCTTTTCCTAAGAGTGAAAAAGAGTATGAAGAATCAATATTTCTATTAGCGAATGCCGTGACTACTTTCGGGTGGCGTAACACTTTTCTCTCACTCGAATTCCGGACGAGATTTGTGACAACGTATGACATGTATGACAACGGTCTCTTCTTTGTGGACGATCGCATAAATGCTAAATTGCAGCCCAGTGCCCATCGCGTTTCGTCGTCGCGCTTGAAATTGCTGTTGAAGCTTATTGTCACTTTCAATACCTCCTTCCTTCACAGAAAGAAAATTATAGGGGGCTATCCCCTAAAATTGTGGTACTACCCCAATTTGTTGGATGACACCTCCAATTAACTGGACGTATTTCTATCTAAGAGAACTATGTGCAGGTGGGAAAGATGGGGTGTGCTCGTTAGTGCTTGGGCCATAAGAATGAATGGGAATGATAAAGCGCCGGTGACGTAGCCGCCGTTCCAGTAGTCATTCGTCGTCTCTAACTCATGAGCCCTGTGCACAACGCTCTTGACACAAGTCTTCGGCTCACGGAGTGTGCACATAGTTCCATTTGACAGAATGTAAAAACTCGCTTTCCTAATTCAGCAAACGGAAATTTTTGCCGACTGACTGCGAGACTCATGAGCCGTGGGCTTGTTTCAAGAGCGTTGTGCACAAGGTTCACGAGTTAAAGACGATGAATGGTTACTGGAGCGGCGGCTAAGTCACTAGCGTTTCATCATTCCTACTCATTCTTATGGTACAAGCACTAACGGGCACACCCCATCTTTCCCACCTGCACATAGTTCTATTTGATAGAAATACGTCCAACTGTGGTAGCACCGCAACTCAAGTTGGGGTAGCACCGCCACATTCGGTTTAGTAGCCTAATGTATTCACTGGAAAAAAAACACATTGGATCCAGAGTCCAGACTCTTAAAAACATCGACAAGAAAAAATACTCTTGATTCAATCAGACTTAAGCTTCAATCAAGAACCAAGCCTCTTAATTTGAGCAGATGTCCTTTTGATTTAAGCTTAAATCTGATTGAATCAAGAGTCCTTTTTCTTGTCAATGTTTTCAAGAGTCTGGATTCTAGATCCAATGTGTTTTTTTTCCAGTGTTAGGGTACTACCACAAAATTAATTGGAAAGGTCCATACAATTCAGCAACCCCGTGCTCTTTTTTCTCTCGTGAGAGTTTCATTTTCTACGCTAAACTGCTCAACAAACAACGGCTGAATTATCTGATCGTATGTTATCGGTATGTGAAATTGTCTAAAGAGAGGAGGAAAGGGTTGTCGGACATACACACGAGTACATTCCAAATACGATCAAGGGAACAACTTTTGCGCGGAGTTTAATGAAGTAGGCTCCGAGCTTGCGAGGCTCAGCTGCGTCTGGCACTCGGTATTTTCCAAATGACCCCCCTCGCCATCCCCCACCATCCCCTCTTTTTCCATTTCCAACGTAAGCTCCGGCCCCTCCCCCTCCCCGCTGCTCCTGCGGAGTTCATGAATCGGTAATGGTTCGCCTCTTTATTGTCCGTTATTTTATTAACAATATAATTTTGATTTTCATCCCTGCCGCGGTTTAATGTACATCCGCTCCCCGGATTCGAGGAAGAAAAGCCCCCCACTCAGAGTTCCCGCCCTCCGCGGTACTCGGGGTAATTTTCCTCTTTCTCCGTCATTTCCGACCCCGGTAATCCACTCGTTTCCGCGGTTTGGTTTTCCAAGTTGCCATTTTCATGACTAAATTTTCATTCATCTCTCATCTAGTTGATGCCCCATCAAGTTTTTTCTTTGATGTAGATGTCTAGTCAACGGCATTAATCGAAAATGGCGTTAAAGAACTGTCCACTAATAAGGTTAAGCACTCTGGTTGACGGGGATCTAGAGGTACCTGCCATACAATGGAGATGTTGCATGTGTGAGGGATTTGCGATTTGACGATTGATTCTTATGTAAAAGTTCGCGAGAAATACGATGGTGCCACTGGTTTTCTCTGAAACCAACTCCCAAGCTCAAAAAAAGCTCTTAAAGTGCTTCCAAATTGGAGGGGATATCCCACCCTACTCTGAAAGTCCACCTTTACATCAAAACAAACTCTCCATGCAAAGATAGGGAGCAAATACATTAGCAGGGTTGCCGTGTTTTCAGTTTTGGAGTCTCCAAATAAAGTGGCAACCCTGCTAATGTATTTGCTCCCTATCTATGCATGGAGAGTTTGTTTTGATGTAGAGGTGGACTCTCAGAGTGGAGTGGAATATCCCCTCCATTTTGGTCTTACTTTGAGAGCTTTTTTTGAGTTTGGGAGATGATTTCAGAGAAAACCAGTGGCACCATCGTGTTTCTCGCGAATTTTTACACAGGAATCAGTGGTCAAATCGCAAATCCCTCACACATGCAACATCTCCATTACTCTGTTGATGCCTGACAGTTGCTTGATTGGGAGGGAGAGAGGAGGGGTAAAAAATCCGTTAAGTTGCTTTATGTCATTAGTGGATGGCTCCAAAAACGATTTTTATCAATCAATGTGTCATGATCATTTGTGCGCTTAATATTATTGAATCTGACCATTTCGGAATCCGTCATACAACCCCCCCCCCCTTTTTTTTGGCTTCATACCTGGTTGTAATGACATTCGTCGGTAGAAAATCTGTTGCGCATGCAAAACGCGTTCTGACTACGCATTGGATTTTGTCGGTAAATTAATGAATGCAAGCAAAATGTCATCCCTGCTCCCTCTTATACTTTAGAACATGAATGACTTGATTTTGTGGTCAGCAAGATTTCCACTCTATCAGCGAGGAAATAAATGGCAAAAAATTCTAAAATTTCATTAGTCAGAATCGAATGAAATTCTTGCAATTTTTTGGGCTTGATATCCCGTCGGATTAATATGGACATAGCACTTTTCTACCATACTGTTACTTAGCAAAAGAAACCTCTTAAAATCTCCCCAAAATTAAGCTAGGAACTGTTCTGAATGGAAACACATTCAAATTCTCTCGTATGACAAGTTTGCAGGTAAAACCCTTAATTTAAACTCCGTAACATTGAGTTGTAACTTTGTTTCGTCACCGAGTCTTTAAGAATCTCTGAAGGTAAAAGTGATCCAAATATTATTTCACCCTTCATCCGAAGACCATTCCCCCCAATCTCCAGGCCCATCTTTAAAATTGTAACGAGATCTTTCAATGTTCATAAAGCGTTATATTATTAAATAAACACTGGGGTACATCTTTCACGAGGCATATTGAATAATCACCGTCCCCAAGCGGACGCAAACGCCATTGAATCGTAAAAACGACCCGTACTTTAATGTTATACGGTAAAATTTTATGTTCCCGTAGCGGAGGTTTTCATAACTCTGCTTATTATGGCTTTAATGTTCACGATCCGTAGATATGTGATGGTGATGATACGTCCATCATTTTGCAGTTTTCTTCGCTTTTACAACCCCTAAGTTTTTGTGAACGCCCACGGCTTATTCTCTGTCCGGCTATTTTCTCTTTGGCAATTCTCTGGCCAACTATTCTCTCTCTGGCTATTCTTTGAATTTTTACCGCTAATGTGGTGGAAGCTGCAGGCTGATTGTTGAAATTGATAGAAAAAGCTGTAGACAAAGAAGACAAAGGGGATGTGAAAGGGTCCTATCGGTGGGGGCGGGTGGTTGCAATGGACAAAAGAGGTAGGTAATAGACTAACTAACAGCAACTCAACAGAGACTCTATATAGTTAGTTAAATAATTCGACGGTGTAAGTCGGCAGTCACATAACTCGGTTTGCGACGTCGCAGACTTCGTGTCATACTTTATTTTTTAAACGGAAAACTACTCAACGGCAGTTCATTCGAACTGTCGTGATTTTTCTTCTTTGTGCGGAGAAAATTCTGCAAAAACTTCAAGGAATGATGTAAATGTGTTCTCCTTTAAAGAAATAACATAGAGGAGGAGATTTTCAGACACCGAAAACGAGTTATGTGATTGCTGACTGACATCGTCGAATTCCCTCTTAGTCTATAAGAATCATCCATCGCAACTAATAGGATCGCTCCATACTCCCTGTGTCTTCTTTGTCTATCGTTTGGTCTATCGATTGGATCGCGTTAAACAGAAAGGAACCAAGCCACATCAGCTATTGCCAAATTTAATTGGGCAATTCAATTTTTTACATGAAAACGGTTGTGCAGATTTTCGTGCAAATTTCAGTGAAAATTCTCCATAGTTTGCAGCAAATTCCTTAAAAATTTCAAAGGAATCCGTACATATGTTCTCTCGTAGAAAATTTAATTGCCCAGTTAAATTTGGCAATAGCTTATGTGGCTTGCCTTTCTGTTAAACTCGGTCCAATTTCAACAATCAGCCCGCTGGAGGTTGATGAAAGTTCAATGTGATATACTAGAATTTCCCCGGGGAGGGGGAGGGGGGTTACAAAAATTCCTAAAAATTTCATCATGAGATGCACGGAAAGTCTCAAGTATTTAAGATTACCTTTGAATAACTTAAACCACCAAAACACACTCTTGCGTCTTGTGCGACTAAAGTGTTTTTTTTTCTTCTTCTTCTTTTTTCCTGTCGCCTGTTGCTGTCAGTCGGAAGCTGTTTTACATTTTCCCGACGAATCAGGAATACCAAGCCCGGATGTTTACAACGGGAACCGTTGCAATGATTGCTCCATGGAGTGCGATCCAATGGAAAGGAGGCTTGCGAGAAGATAGGAGGAACAGCGGAGAAGGGGAGGGTCGGTAATAATGATTGAATACAATCCAAACCCCGGCTCCGACGGAATCGAAATCACGCACGGGGGTGGATGTTGGGGGGTGAAAAATAATCCAGGACATATTCGTCACGTGAAATCGTTTTATAAAATAAAATTTATGTTTCAGTTATGTGTCGTGTGCCGGAGCTCACTGCTTGAGGCAGCTACCATCACGTCGCGCCGGTTGCCTACCTCCGCAGCTCCCTCTGAGCTCCCGTTTTTGCTCCAAAGGTGAGTTAATTTTGGTTTGCAATAAGGAACTACTGTTCGTGACTCATTCGTAAAGACTTCGCTTTACAGGGAAACTAATTGGCCGAATGCTGTTTTTAAAATGAGCCAGAAATGGATGTTCCTAATGGCAAAATATACTCAATTTCATCTCTGCTTACCGATTTTTGCTTTGTTCATGCTCATATTTGCACATAGATAGGTTTAAGTATTTGAACACCTAAGATTTAGTAATTTTTAGATGATGATGGTGTTTTCGCCTGTGTAGCCTTAGATGGTGTAGTAGGTCTCATTCGATGTTTAAATTATTTTCCCGTAATAAAAGAAAGAACTCATTTGTAGCATACTTGGACTACATTTTGCAGTTGAGGAGTTCTTTAGTAAGAGGGCGTATAGGTAAGACTTGTAATGATGCTAAGATTGTGCAACTTATTGTTAGTGCATCGTTTCCAGTTGAACAGTTAAAAAGCTCCTCTAGGATTTTTTCTGAAAATAATTAGCATGTATGCATTAACTTGGTTTGCTGCAAATTGTATATAAAGTCGCACTATCTTAGCAGCATTACAAGTCTCATGCACGCCCTTGTTCCAAAGGACTCCTCAATTAAAAACTAAAATTTCTGGCTCAGTTTAGAAAAAACGCACGTACCATTAGTTTCCCTCTGCACTTTTACGGATGAGCTAGAAACTGTGGTTCCTAATTTCATAATGCATAGTTCAATTAACCCTAGTATTAGTTCTGTACACAAATTACCAGCACTCTATACCTACCAAAGTGGTGTGATTGGTATAATGCACTAATGTACTCGTGGTCTACACTACGTGGTGGGAGTTCAGCTTCAACCGGGTTACCTGGGTTAAAATCTGCTGTGTCATATTGGTGCATAACACCGAACCCCCCCCCCCTTTAACTTTTACTGGTGTCTTTGTCGCCACTCTTTTCTGCATGCATTTTGATCACAAATTTTGCGACTGAGTTTGAATTACCTAAATGGTAACAAGAAACTGCAATTAGTTATTATTATCATCTTTGTAAAGCAATTTTAAAGTTGGGTATTGTTCACGCATGCGAGAAATTAAAGCAGTTACCCCGCCACTCGGCAAAGTTTAGTTTCTATTCTCGCCGTGGTGAGGCGTAATTGATTGATCATCAATACTTCCCAATTTGAAGCTATGTAAAATAATCGATTATTAAGGTGTTCGTTATGCGAACACTCTGTTTATCGATCCTTTTCGATAGGTTTAAATGGCAGATCAATCGATGTATCGCAAAGCATTCACGCCACTATATTCTCGAGAGTACTCTTTCTCCTTATACCATGGAATTGAAACGGTTTTAGACAAAACCAATAAACATGAGGAGTCTTGGTCGAGCAAGGCGTAAAGCAAGAATGGATGAAGATTAAGGAAGTGCGAGGAAAGAGGCGTGTGATAACGTCAAGAGTCTCGACTTAACACAAGAGCTCATAAACGAACGAAAACTTGTAAAAAGCTCAACATAAATTCTGATAAAAAAAATAAACTCGGAGAGGGCAAGGAGATAAAGGAGTGAAAAGTTGTTTTCGCCCCCAAAAGGAGGAGGAAGGATAAAAAAGTGTAATAGATAAAAAATGGTGCACGAGTTTATCCGTGGACGGACAGTTTTAAATAGTGGTTACTAGTTTCTCCGCGTTGTCGTAGCAACGGAATATCTGAAGCGAGAGGATATCCGAGCGGCTTACGTCCGGAGCAATGAAACACTCCATCTTCCTCTGAAACAACTGAAACTTTACCGTCTTGCCACTCTCTTGGATTGTTTCTTTCATCGCGGGTATTTTATCCGAGATTGAGTCGTTCCTCTAAGAAGATATAACTCAGCTCTCTACTCACCAACTTAATCGTTGAATATATTAATCATGGTCCATTCACACCGTGATTGTTTCTATGCAAGTAACGAGAAAATTATTGGATCTCGCACATTTTAAAGTCTCAAATCTGTGGAAAGAGCCTGCAGTGTTGATGCTGAATTTAAAATACATAAGTATTTCATTATTTCTTTTCTTTCCTGTTTTTAATGCGATGGGGTCTTCGTTTGAGATTCTTTCCATATTTCTTGATTTTAGTTGTTTCTTAAATTTATGTGTTAAAAAACAATATCAATTACAGAATGTCCAAAAAATGAACTCATACGTGAAGAACCAATAAATTATTTGATCAATTTTTAGTCTTGCGAGGGCCAAAGGGGTGCCTCCGGTATTATAATGGCCTCTAATGCCCAGGTGGTACCTCTCAATTCTTTAATTCTGAGGTGGAGAGGTCACATTGACATCCCCCTGAATATTTTATTTTGAGTTTTTATTAAAATTTTCAGATCAAAGGAGGACTTTTATTTTAAATTCTGCGGCCAAAGCTTCTCGTATATCTGGTCAGATCATCCTTGAATATTTTGAAATTGTGGTCTCCCAGTACATTTTCAGTAGCGAGGCGCGAATGATCGATTATCGACATTTCCCCCATTTGAAGCTTTGGTAAAGAATCGATTATTAGTTGCGAATACCTTGTTTTTCGATCCTTTCCCGTAAGATTAAACGGCAGATAAATCGATATGTCGCAGGCAATGAGCAATCGCCGGCAAATTGCAATTTACTCGTGTTGAATCAACAAATTAAACAATTTTAAAGTGAAAAAACGAGAAAGGAAGTAGTGATTACTATGCTTTGAATTCAAACATACGGTATCTCCTTCTTCTAGAATGCATGGTGCCAGCTAGCACACACGCGAGTTCGTGAAATGTAATCAATAATCTGCGTTGGGTTTGGTTTGGTTAAGCAACTAAACTAACTCCTCGGCAAAGCGGAGAGTATCGTTGGATTTGAAGGCGTTCCAAGCTGAGGGTGCCTTGAATCTCCTCGCTAAAGAAACATTTTACTATATCGATGTTATTGTAATTGAGGAGCTTTCCGGAAAAAGGGCACATAGCAAAAAATAGCGTTTGAGAAAAATGCATTTTAAGTTTCCATCATTAATTTCTGGCCACTGATGGTACCTTTCATCGCAGCTTGGACTCCCGATTTCGAACGAAAGTCACTGTCAGTGGCCATAGAGTAATGATCAAAATTTCAAATGCATTTCTCTCGAATGCAATTTTCTGCTATGTGCCCTTTTTCCGGAAAGCTCCTCAATTGCAATTTGACGAATGGACAAGCACGGAGCTTCCAAATTGCCGGCGATTGCTGGCTGCCTGCGACAGATATATCGCAAAGCACGCCGCGCCACTACGACAATTGAGACTCCTTAAAATAATACTATTCGCTTGGAGGGGGGGGGGGATGACCTTCAAAGTTAGAATGCAATTCGTCTGGAGACGAGGATGCGAATCCAAAATCACTTAATAGCTTCTCTAGCCTTTAATCCGTTCCAGAATTGGAAAATTGTGTCCCTCCAGTAAAGAGAGATGATCCGTTCGATTCTTGAGATACTGCGTCATCAGTGGCGTGGCGTGCATTGCGAATAATCGATTGGTATGTCATTTAAACCTATGGTAAAGAATCGATTATTAAGATATTCGCTGCGAACACCCTGTTTATCGATCCTTTTCCATAGGTTTAAACGGCATAACAATCTATATATCGCAAACCACGCCACGCCACTGTGCGTCATTATCACCCCCTTTGTGATTTCTTGCTCTCCTTTCTGGTGTATCTACCGGCTACACCCTTGTTCGTCAGCAGGGTCTTTGCGAGCTTATGAGATAATTATCCTGCTAAAGTTGCCCCTGTCGACGATTACACCCTGTAATCCTGAAATGGGACAGTAATAAACTTCTTTCGACTCCAGAAATAGCAGTTGCCGTATTTTGCGAGCAGAAACTCATCCTCGCATTGGCCGATCGTGTAGTTCTGCCGTGCTAAGGGAAAGCGCCGTAAGAGCGTCCAGACGTTGCCGTATCTCCTTTAATAAAGAATAAATTCACTGTGAAAATGGTGAATATTTTTCCTCGAAAATTTCAGAGGATTTTGTTCGCAATTCAATCTGAGAGATCTGAAAATTTCAACGAAAAATTTTCAGAACTTGCCTCAAAAATAAACATTTTATAGGTGGAAAGTTGGCAACTCTCGAATGCTCATATGGCGTTCTTCCGTAGCACGGGGGAGCTTCCGTCGCATGTTCGTGTAATTGGCAGGCGCGCGTCGAAGTCCCTTGCGCCGTGCTGCCAAGTTCAAAGGGAAAATGGTATTTTCTTCGCGGTTTCGGGTTATTTTTTAAGGGATATCCGGCATCGAGCTCCGAGTTGTTTTTTCCGGCCAGAATGTGACTTTTATGCGAGCATGAATAACAATTTACGAAGGGATAGTCCCTTGCGAGGCCGTTATCAGAGGGAGGCACGTTTTATGGGATACGCTGCCCGGCGTATCACTGCCCCTCAGATTTTATCGTGGCTCCTGCCCACGGAGGCACGGGGACACATCCACAAAGAGCATTTACGTTTAATTACGGCAAAAGCAGCAACAAGACTGTCCCTGTGCAATGCGCAGTTTCCGATCCCGTTTGTGAAAAATACCCGTTTGTAAAATAAAAATATTCTGCACACCCACTCTTCTTAGATGCACGATGCGCGATTTCGATAAGGGGCTGTTTAAGTATTACGTAACGCGCTTAGGGGAGGAGGGGGGGGGTGAGCCAGCTATGGTGCGTTACAAGGGGGAGGGGGGTCGAGCCCAGCGTTACGTAGCAAATCCAAGCCGAGAGAAAAAAAACTAGCAACAAATTGAAAATCCCGCCCTTCCCTAGTGAATTTTTTGAAAATAGGGGGGGGGGGGGNTCAGATTTTATCGTGGCTCCTGCCCACGGAGGCACGGGGACACATCCACAAAGAGCATTTACGTTTAATTACGGCAAAAGCAGCAACAAGACTGTCCCTGTGCAATGCGCAGTTTTCGTTCCCGTTTGTGAAAAATCCCCGTTTGTAAAAATATTCTGCAGACCCGCTCTTCTTAGATGCACGATGCACGATTTTGATAAGGG